ACAAAAATTATTAGTTATATCTCTTAAAATTACTAAATACTTAACGTTAATGCATGTATGTAAGAAGATCCAGTTTCAGGAACTTAATTTTAGTCAGGTGCAATTTCCGGGCAATTTCCAGTCATAGGAAGAAATTCATCTGGTTGGTTAATTTACGTCGATTAAAACGTGATTCATTTACCAATCGAGTCATAGGAAGACATTCATCTGGTTGGTTAATTTATGTCGATTAAAACGTGATTCATTTACCAATCAAATCAATCAATACACCGTAAAAAAAATTTACCATTAACGAAAATTTGCACTTTACTCTTTATATGTATTACAATGAATATGGCAATAATTTTATTATCACAATCTTTACTAGAAATGCGTTAGTTATATCTCTTAATTCATATAATTACTCGTACGTACTTATCGATCTAACATTTAATTTATGCCTGCTTATTTAGTGATTGAATTCTTAATACGTACTGTAATACACAAGATATATTATTATTAAGGATACCGATATAGATAACATTCTTCAATAATAAAGCTTACATGTAACGTTTTAATCATCCTTTTCAGTCGACTATTTTTTAAGCTTAATGCAATATATAACACATATTCATAGTAATAAATAGTAAAGAATTTGCCATATAAATGGAGTTCTTCAGAATGGTGTGTAGTGAATACGTATTAAAAGTTACGGTGATGGTTTAATAGTGAAACGTTACATCTTCAAAAATTACTTTAAACTATATAAATAAGTTATCCGGACAATTTATTTACATACGATTGAACTTTCAGAAAGTCACGATGTCATAATAATGGACATATATACACCGTTGCTTCTTGATATTCGTTGTCGATATCGATTTGATGACGTTTACTTGACTGCACCTAAAGCTTAATAAATAAAAATCATGATTTACCGAAAGTATATTGGTTTTCCGAAATATTTACGGCAATCCATCGTGTCGAAAGTGCGAAATAAAGACTCGAAAACTAAAAGCATATTATTATAAAAAATAAAAAAATTGCGTTTAGTGATTTACAATTTAATTTAATATTCGATAAAGTCGAAAGTGTCCTAGAAATTATATCATTGAGAGAATCTACACGGTATCGGTATCGGTATTATTAATTTTCCCGGTTATGGTAGTATCCACTTTCGACATGCTGCACTGCACTAAATGAAACTTAAGTCGTTATCTTTTACCCAATATACATAATGCAGAAAATACGTAGTAAAAATCGGCGCAGTTTATTATTTGCCTAATATAGAGGTAGAATTCCGAGCTTAGGAAAAACCCCTATAATAAAAAAAAAATAAAATAAATACACATCTCATGATATATCCAACCGATTTTAATGATTTTACCATCATTAGAATCAGAGAAATTAGCTCTACAACTTTTATTAGAAGCCAAAAGAAGATTTACATAATAAAACAATACTTTTATATGTAAGTAAGCCCCATTCCTGTACTATAGAAACACATGAATTTCCGATTTTGTTTAGTATAAGATTTGTCATTTTTTCTTTCCTTCAGAGATGAACTACCCCTTAAGTTTTGTGCTATTAAAGTACTAGTACGTGTAAGCGTTTAATACCAGCGACGATTCCTCACTTACTATACAAGATGATCATCTTACCAAAAAACTCTCTCTGAGTTATAGAAGTCGTAACTAAATCAAGTAATAGTGAATGGCATGATAATTATGAGTTATTACACACTCAGTCGCTAAAGAAGTGGATCTTATCAAGATAATCATAACACAAGTAAGCCTTTGTAATTGAAAGAACCAATCGAATGTGTACCTTTTTTTTTGAAAATTTCTATCCTAAATTGATAAAAAAAATTACAGAAACGAATGCTACATGTTACTCTGATAAAAAATAAAGGATGGTCATTAATTAACAAACAAAATATGTCCATCTTTTTTGATTGTTTCTTTTTTTTTTTTATTGCTCCACAAAGTTTCAAATAAGATAATTAAAGTTGATTTCATCGAAGAGAAGCTTACTTGTAAAGAATTCTACTCCGACAACGAAACTTATTAATTTTATTCAGTCGGAAATACTAAAATTTTACAGATTTGTTTCATGGATGATATTTCCTGCTTCGTAAATTTCCTATTTTTCAGGCGGAACGGCTATACTCTTGTAACGGTTATACTACAAAATTAGGGGTATTCTACCGTTGAAGATCCATCACAGGGATTCTCAAGTTTCGGAATAAATGTTTCTCTTTTATATGATCATCAGCTACCCATAGTTTTAAAACAATGTTTAAAAGATCAACAGTTTCATACATATTTGTAATCCAGCAGTTTGTTTTTTTTTTTTAATTTGTAAGGTTCATAAGCATCAATGTTTATTACCATAAAATGTCTATCAAACATTAATTTCAATTTTTTTTTTTTTTTTTTTGTGCTATCAAATACAGTTTGAGATTTTGAATAACATGTAAGAGCATATAATCAAATTATAAGATTTTTTTTTTTATTATTTTCTATATATCAAAAAATTAACTGAAATTAGTTGAAGATTTCTATTATATTACTCTATTATTTACTAAAAAAAAAAAGAGGAAAAAAATAACGAATCTATAATAAACTTTCTTAACGTTTACATCATAGTAAAACATAAACATAAAAAATATCTAATATTTATATACACTTTTTTTGTTTTTTTTTTGATGGATTTATATAGTCATAAATTTACAAGAAAGACATAGGAGAACCATTTCCGATAGAATTACCAAAATTAACGATAATAGGATTTGCACCAAGATTACGATCGACAGCAGAATTGGTACTAAAGTTATTGCATGCAGTAGAATGGAAAAAATAATCTGCACTCGATAAACTAAAATTAATGATATTATCTATTTGCGAAGGTGTTAATGTGTTATTAAGTTGTGAAAATGAAATTGGATCATTATTATAAAGTTGATAGAGCTGATTATTATTTGCTTCTTGTTCAAGAAAGTAAGTAGGCTGTCTTTCTTGTGCGTCAGTAAAATGCATTATTGGCGAGAGTATTGGTGATGCATCATATCGTTGAGAAGGTATAATAGGTTCGATAAGTTCAATTTGCTGAGACAGTGTGTCACTGGTTACAGAATCATCATCACTTTCGCGAAAAACTGAACAGGGATCACTGGGCGAAACATCCATTCCGGTTTGTGTTTCTTGCTTAAGTCGTATTTTATCATAGAATTGTTGTTGCATCTTTTCATGTTCGTTAGTAGTTTGTTTCGCAACATGATCTCCGTTTAATTTATTTTTATTCTTTAATTCTTGTTTAGAATTATCAGACATTGCTAATCTTACATGAATTCTTTCAACTTCGCGTGCGATTTCTTCGTATTTTCTCTTAACTCTCCTTTCTTCTTTTTTCCAAGCTTTTGATGCCATTTTTGAAACCTCTCGCATTGAAAGTCTATATCCTTGGGAATGAAGTTGTTTTGCATACTCGTTACGATAAATCAAAAACTTATTGGTAGAACGAGCAAGTAATTCGCCATGTTTATTGCGTCTTATAAGATCCGATGGATCAACTTTTGGAGGAAATGGGACGATAACCAAGAGATTTGAGAGGTCACAAGGTCTTTTAGGCTTAGGAGATGCTATTGTAGAGGATTCATCGATGAATAACCATTCCTGTTGAGATGGACGACCACTTTGAGAGAGATCAAATGAACCTCCGATAAACTTATTTTGATGTGACATTATTATGAGTAACTGAGGATCTCAAAAAAAAAAAAAAGGTTGATGATATTTATATTTGATTTATGTCAATCGAAAGTGAAGAAAAGATTTTAATGATTGACGTGCTAAGTGTGTAGTCAATTTCTTTTTTTTTTTTTGATTTTTTTTTTTTCTGAACTAGCAAGGTGAAGTGTCTCCTATTTATCAGTTATTCAAATTTATGGTGACGGATTTCTCACGCGTCAACCCTAGAAAATCGAAACTAAGATCTAGACTAAAAAAATTTTTTATGTCATGAGTTATTGTGATTGGATTTCAACATTCCATCGGGTATGAATGAATTTAGAATGCGACGAAAATAGAAAAAGTAATATATGATCAAACACTTGGAAAATATTAAATCCGCATGTCACATGAAGAATAACATCAGAAGATCTGTTGTTAGACCCTTTGACTAATTGAACCTTTAATTTTCGTGTAATATAACTTGTAGTGCGTGAATACATATATGTAAATTATACATGGTCCGTGCGAGAGAATCCGGAAGTCTCAGCCCTCAATCTGATAATCCTCGTGACTACCCTATTATTAATCAAACTAAAAAGATTAGCGTTAACGATTTACGTTAATAATAAGATTTTGTTATTTGAGTTAAAATGAATTTACTTCACTAATATTCAAAAAACGACGCATATGAAATGACTTGTAAGATAAGATAAGCATAGATTTACATAATTTGGTTATTGAAGCAATTTCTCACGATAATCTATTAAGATTGTATTATTGATTTAGATTATTAGTTATTTTATTGGTTACTTTCTTTTTGAATATTTTGCAAAGTTTAAGTTGATGCTATGCTAGTTTACTTTTGTTTGCAAAATTACAGCATTCATTGTTTGATAACTATGAGGCACTTCTAATTACAAATCCATAAATGCATTTTACGTGCTAACTTTAAAATTCGTTTAAGTAAATGCGTAATAAAATTTTTGAAAACATGCGGTAAAAGTTTCTAATCTCTATGTGGTTGAAAGCCCGCTTTCATTCCAAAAAAGGCATGTTAATAAATATTTATGATCTCCAAGTATAGCAGATCCGAGAATTTAATACTTTAGAAAATCTTTGTGAGTTTGACATTATTTGATTTGTCATCTTGAAGAGAAAAACCGTAAACTGTTGAACTGAAACAATTGGTTTATTGTGCATAATATTTTACAGATTTGGCTATTATATTAGGTATAATGAACAAACCTTGCACTTTTCGAAACAGCTTCGGAATGATTTTCGAGCCTCGTGCATATTCGTTATTGTCCATTTTTTGCTAAGTATTAGTGTACAAATTATTACACAATGCATTATGATAATCATGCGTTTAAAACGAATTCTTCAAGGATTTTCATTAACCATTGTCAATCATTCCGAACAGTTATTCATGGTTAGTCTTTAGGATAAAAGATTTTACGCGCATATTTTAACACCGGTTGGTCTGACTACGTAGAATTTGTACGTAATACTTTTATGGTATTTTAACAAAATATAATAAAAAAAATACATATATCTCTGTTAACACATATCCACATATCCATGTGCAATGTCGGAAATACATCCATATTTTGCCGAAAGTTTTCCACGTGATCACGGATAGAATAAATTTATCTTTATTTTATATACTCTAGTTAGCAAATTTCTGCATAAGTAAATTTTACATATATTGAAAACTTTATTAATAATAATTATGTACTTTTAGTTTTCCGAGAAATAGTATTAATGTTAATAATTTTATGTTACACGTATATAAAATTTGTTAATAGCTTACATTCATCCATTGTCGTTATGATTAAATTTTGATTAAAATTTACTATGAATTTAAAATACCAGTAAGTTTTCGGTAAGTTTAAATATTACTTTCGATTTTATTAATCTTAACAGAAATTTTATTGGTGTACAAGTATTTTTAACTATGTATAATAGATTGACGCTTAAATTAATTGCTATATGAAAGGATTTACTTGTTGATTTATTCGTCCTTACACAATGATTTGAAATTATCGTTATTTTCCTTTACCAATTTTGGGTCTTTTAAACCTTTACAATATTCAAGCCAAAATTCCTGATAATTTATTGGTTTTTGCTATTGGACATGTTATGAGTAACCACTCGGTGGTTTGTATTTTTTGTCTTACCCACATTATAAGTAAAAAAAAACTTTTTCGTTAATAAAATTTATCATGCTTAAGCTTAACGGTAAGTTCTGAGAAAACTTTAAAATGGTCCAATACTTGTCTACCGCGTGCATGTCCGGATTAGAACTTGCATTCTAGAGAATAATCAATCCACGTGTAGATTTGTTAGATTCAATTGGCACTTTTTAATCTGCAAAATAAACCAGTTAACCCTCGTAAATGAAATTCGAGATCATTTTTGCACGAGTCAAGTTACAAATGTGATCTTGCTAATGAAATATATGTATATTTTAAACCGTTTTCGATTTTCAAAACAAAGAGCAAGGATTTTCATGCCTTACCGCTCATTTAATTAAAAAAATACTTTAAATTTTATGAAGAAATTTTAGATCATTTTTTGAACCTAATATAGTTGTATCAGAGATTGTATCCGGGCCAAGCATCAGTACGACCTGTTATGACTGGCTAATTATAGATTATGACGTTTATGATCTACTATAAATTACATCATCGTTACACTTCTTTATAATTACCATATCGATATTAGGATGCCGCATGATTATATGGCGACTGTAGTCTGAATATAGGATTATAGTCTGAATCACATCACTGCCAAATTTTGTATCATTACTAATCTATCTGTATTCTGGAGAGGGCGAGTAATGTGGTGGATAACATATTATTGAAGGTAAAACTTGGGTTATCAACTGGAATCTAGAGATTGGAACTGGACAAAAAATTTATAACTAGTCAAACTTTATATTTTATTGATTTTAAGGGTAGAATCTTTTGGTTAATTCGATATATAGTAATTGTTAACCCTATAATCAATATTTTATGCAATATTAATTATTAATAAAAATAATAACAATAAGGATAGTAGTATATTATATGATATTTTTAGCCAATAAATATTTAAACTTCGCATTATCTCTTAAACTGTAGGCTTTTCCAGGCAAATTTGCCTAGAAAATTATCATAAATATGGTTATGATATACTTTTTTTAAATTTTAATATATTTAAATAAAATTTTTTTTGATAATATTTGAAAATAAG